AGATATGTCTTTATAAAAACAAGATTCAGTTACATTGGCAGATATACCTTTATAAATACAATAATCAGTTATTTTGGGAGATATGACTATATAAATACAAGAATCAGCTACGTTGGTAGGTATACCTTTATAAATACAAGAATCAGTTACGTGCGGAGATATGACTTTATAAATACAAGAATTAGTTACTTTGGGAGATAGGTCTATACGAATACAAGAATCAGTTACGTTGGTAGGTATACCTTTATACATACAAAACTCAGTTACCTTGGGGAATATGACTATATAAATACATGACTCAGTAACGTTGCTAGGTATACCTTTATAAAAACAAGAATCAGTTACGTTGGTAAGTATATCTTTATAAATACTAGGATCAGTGACGTTGGTAGGTATATATTTATAAATACTAGAATCAGTGACGTTGGTAGGTATATCTTTATGAATATAAGAATCAGTTACGTTGGTAGGTATATCTTTATAAATACTAGAATCAGTGACGTTGGTAGGTATATCTTTATAAATACAAGAATCCGTTACGTTGGTAGGTATATCTTTATAAATACTAGAATCAGTTACGTTGGCCGGAATGCCTTTATAAATACAAGAATCAGTTACGTTAGAAGATATGCCTTCATAGTACTAGCAATAATTTTCATGATATAAAAATATGAAATAATTACCCTTGCAGCTTTACATAGTTTCAATGCTGAAAATATGCTCTTCAAATATATTTACATTCATTATTTTGAGTTGTTGCATTTCAATATTAGCATTGAACATACAGCCCAGTGTAGCTATACTATACATATTCATCAAGCACTGAGCGAATGTCCCACGTTAACTCCGTTTGTAACATTTCCACACTGCTATTTGCATACAATGATGGTGTATAAATGCACTAACTATTGTGTTATGTCCGCCTGTTGTAGCCAATGGCTTTGGTTGTATGTTGTGAGCAGCGATAAACATGACAACCTATCGCTCAATGCTATGTAAATTTCATGTGACATTTGTACTTTTCATATTTTAATCTCTTTTCGCGGCCTTTAGTCAGGCGCTATCACTTAGTTAATGATATTCAAATACAAGTGACATTAATAATTCACTTCTTTAGACTGATAAGAATTCCTATAAATTGAGAATATCAATGTTAACACTGGGAGACGGAGCCAGACCTATAGCTGGATGGCAGTAGACTGCCCTATCACATGTTTTTAATTGTAGCTTCAATTCGGTTTTTTCAGAGTTTCTACTTTATCAAGTGACAGTATTTGAATAATGGGAAACATTAAATTTCAAGCCGACACCCGCCATTTTAAAGATATATGCCTTTTTGCGTCGATTAGAGCTAGTTACCAGTCGCTGTGATGGATAAAACAGCGTTAATTCTACTGAGACAATCTCAAGCTTTTCAAATGACAGCTTATGAGATTATGGTTTATTTGCGATAAATTCCAAGTGGAACTATAACTTGAGATATTTCTAAAGTTTCGTAGAAACAAACCGCACTGTTAAAGGTGAGAAGGGTTTGGCCAACTATTCTCATGTTAAATCAGAATTATAATAATCTTCTCATTACAAGTATATATTTTTAATGAAATCCCTTTTACCGAAATTAATGTGATACATAAATAATTGTGATGTATCCACGTTATATTTTGTAACTTTATTAACTCAGTATACATTTGAGACATAAATTAGTATTATTTCCAGATAAATACTTTCTAGGGGATCTTTATAGCACAATCTCTCTTAATTGCACAATTGATTTCAATTACATGTAAATTATCCTGCAAATATATTTTGAAAATATTGTAGAAAAACAGTTAAATGTGGTTTATCAGAAACGAAAATGACAATCCAGGCTTCATCATAATCCTACATAACTATTACGAAGGGGTCTTCAATTTACTCACTTTTATATTCCTTGCTGCATTACAGTAACATTAAAAATATGTCCTGAACAAAAGAACATTTCCATAATAAGAAGAAATTCACACTGAAAGCAGAGTCCATTGTACGATTCCGACAATAGCATATGTATGTGTCTATGAATCGCTATCAAATAGTGTTCGCCAAAAGGTGATCCTATACTGCCTCACCGGTGGCACCCGTCACAAACACGTGCAAAGTCAAGTCAATTGTTCACCTAAAATAACACGGAAACACATCATACAAGTCAAAATATGGAATTGCATCGGACACAGCATAACACAGCAAATGACAGATACATTGACACTGTTTGAGCAAATGGTGTTTGACGTCGGAAGCAGCGATTTTCCAACTCTGACACCTCGGCCTGTAAATAATCGAGTCTGGCACCGGCAAACCAGAGAAAGCAACAAAAACAATCGGGACACGATGTATATGGCACGTATGTTGTATATCGATGCCATAGTTTTCAATATGCATTTTTGTTAAAACAGAAATATATATAATTTTAGAAAAAAATATTCTTAGCTGCCACTGTACATTGATATCATTATAATCATGATAATAAGTCCATTATTAATGCGCCATTCCACTCAAGTCAGTGCTCATGACACTAAATTATTATTACTCCGGTCAATAGATCAGTGTGCACTCGATTTTCATTCTCAGCTCCCTGAGGAGTATGCAACCCAACCCAGGCAGCTATTACAAAGAATACGAAGTTAGTTTTATATACTTAAGTTATAGTAATACTATGGTATGATCTATTAAACCATACCCAGTGAAGTGTTTGTGTCTTATAGTTTAGTTAAATATTTTTCTTTAAAATATAACAACAAAACTTTCAGGATACAAAATAAAAGAAAAGCGACAGGAAGCCACTCCACGAGGCGCTTGCACATTATGCCACGTGAACTGACGGGCAATGGAGAAAAAAATAGATTTGAACAAAAATACAAATTATCAAAACGTTACTAAACAGTGAAAACAGTCGCCGAAACATTGCAAACTTAAGGTCTAAAACACAAATGTGATACCCGTATCCAATTCATCACCATTGAATAACCTTTTCTTGTTTGTTTTATTTTTACCCACCCTTAACACGAGAGTATTATTCTTGTGCTTGTATCTCCCAACACGCCTCTAGCAGTAGCCTTCTACAGTGGCCCAGCATACACGTCACTCGACATATTCTATCATGTCAACGGTTTCGTAATTCATAGATGAATGATTTTTTGTTTCCTTTCAGGTGTTGTTGCTGTTCAGCTATAAAATCACAAACCCACTATACACTGCCTTGCTGTTTCCAGTATACACGCTGTCAACACAAGGATGTCTATAACATATTTAGATAAAATTACTCGACGAAAACAGGAGAAAGGGCTTCAATGGTTCAATTGGCTTTAAATGTCGGAGTGTTAATATACAGTCTTTCTTGAGATCCGTAAATGTATGACATGCCCAGAGCTTCCACAAACACTGCCGCTTTATCCCTTTTGCCTCATGGGCGATCAGTCCGCGGAGCTCGTCGTGAACAGCCAACACAGGACTGGATCTCTGTTCAAACTGTGTGGAGTGGCCGTGTATGTGTCGGAGCTGGGAACTATTAACATGTAACATTCTTTATCTTTCGTTTTAGACCTAGAAATAACACAGATTTATATGAAACATTTCGTCATTAATTTTTTTTAATTTATTTATTTATTTTATTTTTAAAAATTGGGGGGGGGGGGGGGGGGGGGGGGGTTCTTCATTTAAGGTGTGAGGCACTAGTCTACCAAAATAATTTCAGATTTTGTTTTTTAAACTATAAATGTGAACCATCTTTGATTATTAAAATTGCGGAATCACTATGTCAGCTGGGGAAAACATGAAGACTGAAGGTATATATTTGCGACATATAGAAAACACACATCCACGATTATAGGTACTAATCACTATGTCAGCTGGGGAAAACATGAAGACTAAAGGTATATATTTGCGACATATAGAAAACACACATCCACGATTATAGGTACTAATCACTATGTCAGCTGGGGAAAACATGAAGACTAAAGGTATATATTTGCGACATATAGAAAACACACATCCACGATTATAGGTACTAATCACTATGTCAGCTGGAGAAAACATGAAGACTGAAGGTATATATTTGCGACATATAGAAAACACACATCCACGAGTATACCTGTTTGTTTAGCGTTCTCTTGATAAGTGCAGGACATATATGAACACTCTTACACTGTTTAATCAATCACCAGTGTCGGGTGATTGAATGAAATTTTAGCAAGAAGATGATTAACTATTCTACTGCCTACATAAACACAAACTTCTTACATATAATCAAAGGACACATTTCGAAATGCACACTTGATGCTACTTACACTCTCTTTCACTGTTGATACAATTGTCTGGTGGTATTTGTAATATAACTACTGTTATCTTAGAAAATGACCTAAGTATAATGTAGAGTTATTCCGTAATTTTATTTTCTTTAGCGGGGGAATGGTATGATTTTGCGAAATAGGTGCGTCCACATTTTACCAAGCCGAGTTCATTTCTGCTCGAACCATTAGGAATTAATTACAAGTTCTTCACAAAGTTACAAATGTAGCCTGTCATCTTACATGCGCACGTGAGAGTAACTAGTCAGCCAAAGTCATCAAAAGAGCGGAATATTCTCAGCAACTGTTTGCCACAATAACGGCCTTGTTTTCGTGTGATCTTTGAACGAATACAAGCAGACAGGGCCTTTTTCTTTTTAGGCCAATTACTGCACATCCTTCCGCCTATTCATGCGCGTTCATTATCCCAATCTTAGCCGGACTCAACACAAATCGAACGACCGAAAATAATTGCTTGGGTGCATGTTGGGTGAGCTATGAACTGTACGCAATCAAGACCCTAGCATTCACGGACCCCATAAACAGTTGATTAGGAAACCCTCCGCCCAATCCCCGTTAAAGGCCTCTTAAATTACAGACGTATCTAAGCTTCCCGGTGTCCGTTGATCAAGCGCACAAGTAAGTGGCAGAATGTCACCGCTAGTTTTAACCAATGAGAGAGTGGTAATTACGATCGATGCGGGCTTAATCACGCCCCCTACCGGAGCTGCGGGAAGTCTTTTGTAATCATAATATTCCCTTGGTTGACTGGAGCTGTCAATGAGCCAGCCAGTAGCTGGCATAAACAAAATAAGACTGGCGCTTGCCATATGCTTGTAGCATTGCCGGTGCATTATTAATTATGTGGCGATGGTTATAAGGATAACTAGTAGTACGGTTATTTCTTCTTGAATTAAAGCAGTCACTCCCAGACGTGTCACAATAGCGGCAGTAGACAGACTAAGGTGTGAGCTCTCGTCAGAGACAATCTCCTAACAACTTACCTGTATTTTGGGATCACACATCTGTGAGGTTTTCGCCTAGAACAGTGGGGAATGTGCAAGCACTGTTAACTTTCTACATATTCTGACATTAAATTTGAAGGATGAGCGAACCGACAGAATTCTCGGAAGAAAACAGTGAGTACATGTGTATTTTATTTCTTTATTATTCTTATACATGTATAAACCCATTAGTTAATCACAATTGTGTTGTGTACTTGTTTTCTAATCCCATGTGAAAGGGGTTAACCTAAAGTTGCCCAATAAAACGGTTTTAAGTAATTAATTTACACTTCATAATGTAATTTAAAGGGGTTTTTTTTCAAACTTTCCCAAGTTGCAGGTGTTTAGCAGGATGCAATGTCGCCGCTATAATCAATTAACAATTAAAACCTAATGATTCCTAGCTTCTGAAGAGTTAAGTTAATTATTACACTTACTGAATGCCATCGATGGATAATTCAAGAAAACCATCAACCAGTTTCAAATTGTTTAAAAAGTCTATTTGACGATTAGTAACCATTTTGAGGGATATATTGTATGTTATGTATGGAGAATTGCGACGCTTCAAAATATATCTCGGATAAAGCGTAATGTTTTTGCATATATTGCAAAATACACAAAATATCTCAAGCCAAGTAATTTATAATATGTTTTTGTTGAACTACAGTGCATATTGAACAGTATAATATTACATGATCTTCTTGAAGAACAACCATGTGTAATATCTCAGGACATACCACTTACTGTGTATGTATATCTCAGTCCTTGGGGAAGTTATATATAGCTACAATTAGTATTGTATTCAAATACATGCAATGGAGTGTAACTCGATATTTCATCAGGTGTTCTGTAATTTCTTCCTTTCAAGTAGTTGGTTATCATATTGTTATCTTCCATAAATTCACAGATACAGACGTACATATCTTCATACCTCAGTGATCGCCAATTGTAGGTTAACGCTGGTCAATACAATTCTAAAAGGTAGTTTGATTCCAAGCAGGGGTCATACTGCTCATGTTAAGATGTAAACATTTTTCAGAATCAAATATTGATTTGAAATTGATTATCAAACTGACTTCTTCATCTGATCAAACCTTTATAATCCATCATTTCAATGTGTTGCAGTAACACGTGATCTGGTTAACATTAATTGCACAAAACATAATTCATTTCAATGTCATAATTTCCTGTGTTTTTAAATCATTTAAGTTCTATCGCCGCGCGCCATTAGTACTCCAACTGAATAGGGCATATCATTGACTGACTATTAAAATCTGTTTTTTTGCGAAGTGTAACAACGTAACACTTGTTAAAGAAAGCAACTTCTTTGTATTTTATTGGATATAAATCATATATAATATGTCACTATTATACTTTATTATTTCATGGCTTAATAAATATGTGCCAAACGATTTAGTTACAATTATCATAAATATTATAACTCTAGATTGCTGATGACTTGTAAATGATGAAATATTTGAAAAGCTTTAAAGCGGTTTGTTGTTTCATTTTTACCAAAGCAAGAGATGAGCTTGGACTGGTGTCCATTAAATAGGTGCACGCGATGCGACTCACTGAGTATGTTCTGCTGTTAAATGTTGCTGCTATCATCATGAGTGGATGCAGAATAGACGATGACATAGAATTTACCGAAATAACTTTTAAATTGGCCATTGAATGTGCATCAAATGTGGCATTACCAGCCCTCGGTAAATCATTCAGCGCCTCTACATGAAAGTCATGAAATGTAATTGAGTCAAAATTGTCACATTTGTCTTGCAACATCTAAGGATTTATCCTAAATCTTAGCTTCGGCTTTTAATCAGCATTTAGATAATAAGACGACTGTGGCATTTAGATAGTAAGCAGTTTTGATATGTTTCTATTGTGATGGTGAAATGATTAAAACTAAAGGTAACTGTATGTCTGAGAATACTGACTGTCAGGAACGTATGGATAAGGTTCTGCAGAAATTCTGCCAGCCATTGGTAACCATGCACGCTGAGACTAAGTGTCTCTTTCAGGAATTAACTCACAATGACGATATGGCAGTACATGTTATTTCATAACTGCAGTTCTAACGCATACCTGGCGCGGTATATATACAAACTGATATCTACACATACCAGTGCCTCTGATATATATACACCTCCTATACGATACATCTCCTATTCAGGGTGTGGGTATTAATATCTATATCTAGACATCAGATAATCCCAAAAGAAAGCGTTTATGTAAAATTAACTTCCATCAATCTCAGTGTTACTGAATATCATGATCTTTTCATAATCCTGACACATTCAAACTCACGGGGACACATTGTCCAGATCGTTTCAGTTTGTATAATCGTTTAATATATTTCTGAATTATTTGTTAAAAAGTTATAATAACCCCTAACAGCCCTGTACTGCAGTGTGTGGTACTGTTTGGTCCTGTCAAGCGAGCCTGTGCAAATTAATAGCAGACAGATGTCAACCCTGTTCTGTTCTCCTGGTGTTGTACAGCTACCAATAGTAACATCTTTACACCGTGAACATCTTTTCTAAACCTCATTCTACAATTACATATCCAAATCTGTGCACGCGACGGCTGACAATGCGGCGAATGTTGTCCATGGAGGAAGTATTGTCTGCACTTGTCGAGGCAGCAAAACATGCACAACAACGCCCATTTTCCTTCACCGTGGAATCGTGCGACAATCCAATAATCGCAGTTTGAGAGTCTGGGGGAGACGAGAGAAGACAACGACGTTGACAATGGCAGCAGCGTCATGGGAATACAAAGCTAGGGGAGTTATCACCCATCTAATTTCCATTGCGAATGTTTGGTCTTGTCCGGTGGAGCGGGTGACGGTAATCCTGTATTGGGGGCCGTCTCCGACGGGGCCCGTGCCATATGCTAGCTGTGTTGGAAACAAGCCGTAATTAAACGCTAAGTGCGGAGTCGGTGGTTAATCACATCTGAAAACACAGAATCGACCGGTCTCTACAAAGGACCCATCTCTCAGGACCTGACTACCATATGTCGACAGATTTACAGAAATTTGACCTTCTGTAATTATTTTCATTATTGTCACCAATCTGAAAAAAGTGGATTGTTTCAACATTTCACATCCCATGGTTCTTTTGTTCTAAATAAAGTATTTAGATCGCCTGTGTCCTGATCGACCGGCTGCCGTCTTAATTACCATGGCTGCACTTAACGGGTTAACGGTACTAGGTGTATTTGTAACGGTTGTTTAGACTGTTACGGTAAACATAAATGGATTACAGAAACACACAGATGTGCCGACACGGTACAAACACCCCCATCACATGGTTCTCAGTAGATAATGCTTGTTAATTATTAATCTAAGAGCGGTGAGTGAACACTGCAAAGTGAACGGAACATTGTCTGCAAGATACAGTGGATGGCAAATGTACCGTTTTTAGTCTCATTGCATTAAAGAATTATGCACTTTTATTAATGGTTATCTTTCCGCTTCTTCTCCATTAATAGATCTGTTATAGTTATATCATTGTTATTTTTTTTGTAAAGAAATGGTACAAAATATTTATGTAGAATATCCCTATATTAAATCATATTTCAATATTTCGACGAAGCGCCTTATTAATTAACAAAGATCCAACCTAAATCATAGTTGACTAGTTGATGCGATATCATAGGATTTATATATGTAGCATCAGATAGTTTCTCTTATTAAATAGTCATTTAGATATGGGGAAATATTTCGTCAGACTGACAGACATCGGCCGGAATGGAAGGTGTATTTTGTCCGTGTTAACGACATCCTCTTTCCCAGTGATGCTATGAATCTTTCTTGAGCGCTACGTTTTCCAGATACTGAATACAAAAATGGTCACAGTTGCTTGTGTATGTAAATGTTTAATTAGCACCTGGTAACTTCGCCTGCGGTTGTCAATCAATATTTCATATTCGTATTTTCACAACAGTGGCAAAGTGTGCTGGTCACGTGATTCAGGTTGTTCATGACGGGAACTGGTCACTCTGTGTCATCAGGTCACACCGTGGTCACCGCAATCTGATAGGCGTATACGACGAAATTAAATATAAGAACATAAATAAGTTTTCACTCACCCACTTTTATACCAAATGAATGTTAACGAAATATAAAGTAAACATCCAAAAGGGTATTAAAAAACCCGAAACGGGTTTAAACCGTTAAAGTGTTTGCGGCTGAGAGGCACCTCGGACGTAAATCATAATGTGTTTTCGTTCCTCTGTATTATTTTAAGAAACATAAAATTGTATTTTACCTTGCATCTAGTTCTTCATTTGTTTGACGTTAGTTAGTGTGAATACAACGATGTTGCCCAGATACTAACGTAGCACATTTTTATAGCGTTTGACGTCCTTATATCTATAAGACTTCTTATCCCAGTATAGATAAATAGGTGAAAAGTGGGAAATACCTTCTCTAAATCTGACCACTGTACAATATATTATTATATATAATGCCAGTCAGCTTTGTGTGTCACTTAAGAACAAGTCCGAAATCTTCTAAAAGTTAACAAATGTCAACATACTGTTTGACTGAAAGCACACTTACATCAGACCCAAACTTGAAAGTTAATTTTATTTCACAGATGAAACATCTTTAAGCATGAAAATTTATCATGTTAGGTCCTAATCAACCATCGTCTTCCATTCCAGAGATAATATGAATTCTGTAGTTTTATCTTCATTTTCCCCCTTTCTCCTTCTCCTTGACTATCACTGAACTTTGTCTCAGATTTACCGTATATTTTACTTTAAAATTCTATCAAGCAAGAACTAAAACCTTTGTGGTATAAATGTAATTTTTGGTCGTTCAAAATCACTATCGTTATTCATTATACAAGCTCTAGACGATGACTAAATATAACACGATTTCATCAAATACATTTACAGTGTCTTTGATTAGAAATAGGATTATGTTCCTTTCTTAAATCAAAACACATATGTAAAATATGTCAAATCTATGCCTTAAATAGTAGCAGTGAATATTCTTTACCTAGAGCCTCCTTTACAAATGGACGCTTAAGTTTTATGATTATAGATCCAAAATAAATTGTTCATATTTATAGATAATCATAAGATAGGGAAACATGTAATACTTCTTAGAATCAATATACACATTTGATGACAAAGTAAAACTTGTAGCAATTCAATTGAGACGTGCAATTAGCTCGAGGTTTTAACCGGTCCGGCAGCTTCATTTGTGACAAAAAAGTGATTTCTACGAGAGCATTCTGTGAGTGAGAGGAGGCGAGCGAGATGATTGGCCCCGTGGCGTGGTACCCCCTGCTTGGGCTGTGTGCGGAATGTAATCGCCAGGCAGTCACTATTTAGCTTTCTGGGTGAGTTTCAATAGCATTCAGCGTTTGGAATAACAATTTATACGACCGAGGAAATGGCTTCTTTCTCGGATATGCTACAGACATAACGAGTTTTAAATGATACATGAATATCTATCATAGATGCTTTGAATGGACGTAAGCCTCTCATAAGGAAGTACTAGGTATCTTTGTGGAGTGGTTATTCTTTCGGCGAGCCTGTGACTTGCAAAATATTTCCAATGTAAAATTTAATAATGAATAATTAAAATTTCATAGGTATCGAACGCAATGTTATATCAAATAAATACGGACGCATTATCTAAAATGACATTCAGAATCCCGCTTCCCCCATCCGTTCTTAAAACAAATACATGGTTTCGTTGATAAACAACAGTTGATTCATTCCGCACAAGTGACGATGAAGCACGGCTGTAAGAATTGACGCTCTTCCATACGTCACAGCGATATCCCAATGTCAGTTGTACACGTGGGGTTTATTTGATTTCGTCTCCGATATTTTGTGTCCTGTATTCTCTACACTGAAATGTTGCAGAAACTATCTCGGTAATTGAGATCTTTAAACATAGAAACCTACGACGCATCCAAAGGTGAGGTGAAATGGGGTTTAACGTCGCGTCCAAGATTATTTCACTTATATAGCAACGTGCATGTACGTGTGTGTGTTTGTGTGGCTGCTTGTACTTGTCCGGACTGATGCCGATTTATAGTGCTAGCTCACCGAGATACCATGCCGCAGTTTAACATGAATACCCCACTCAGACACAGTATACTGACTCCGAGACGACCAGTCCTTGTTAGAGCCCCTTAATGCCGAGCGCCAGACAGGGTAACAACAAGTGCCATCTTTTAACGTCTTTTGGTATGACGCGGTCGGGGATCGAACCCCGGACTTCCGCTCTCCGGGCGGACGCTCTACCACAAGACCACGGAGGCGGTCCGACGCATCCAAAAAAACCTACACATTGAGCATGTGGCGTAGGAGCGGTGGGGTGGTAAAGAGGATAAAGCGTTCGTTCGGTACCCGAAGGCCCGGGTTCGATTCCTAACGTAGGTCGTAGGTGCAATGTTTGAAGCTCATTTCTGGTGTCCCCCGCCGTGATATAGCTGGAATATTGCTAAAAGTGTCGTAAAATCAATTTCACTCACTCACATATGTTGTACCTAACGGGAATCGTATAAGGAAAGGAGTGGTGGGGAGATAAGTCGTTAAAGCGATGGCTCGTCACGCCGAAGACCCGGGTCTCGATAGCCCCCATTTGTATAATGCCTGGTTTACATTTGTGGTACAACACTATCGTCGCATTTCTGAAAGAGTACCTATAGCGGCGTAGAAGACCTCACCTGGAATACACTTGATGTAAATGCATATTACTTAATATATACGTGACATAAACTATTCGTACCATCACGTAAAATAATCCCGTGCCAAAGAAACACCTATTATGAAGTTATATTTTACAATACATTACATACAGGTGATATAAACTATACCTAAAAAAAGATGATATAAACTATATCTTACATACAGGCGATATAAACTATATCTAACACACATGTGATATAAACTATACCTTACATAATGGTCATATAAACTATACCTAACACATACGTGACCCGTGAAGATCCAGGGTAGAAAAGGTATTAAGCAACCCATGCCTGCCGTAAAAGGCGACTCTGCTTGACGTAAAAGGCGACTAACGGGATCGGTTGGTCAGGCTCGCTGGCTTGGTGGGTGAATGTCATCGATCCATCCATTGCGTGGATCGATGCTCATGATATCAATCACTGGATTGCCGATCCAGACTCGATTATTTACAGACTGCCGTCATATAGCTGGAATATTAAGGAGTGCGGCGTTAAACAACAAACAAAAAATAACACAAACGTGATATAAACTGTACCTAAAAAGATGATATAAACTTTATTTGACACACAGGTAATATAAACTATACCTTACATAATGGTCATGTAAACTATACCTACACATACGTCATATAAACAATACCTAACACACACAGCTTACACAGGTAATATAACCGACACCTAGCATGTAAATCATAATTGGCTGTAGAGTGTGTGTTATCTACGTACATGTAATATGGTAAACTTATAGGAAACTTATCGGGGACTTTGTACCAGTTCGTTGTATTCGTTTGTTGGCGCCGTCAATGTTCCTGGTGTAACCGTGTTCTGCTGTCCATTCGGAGTTGGCTGTAGTATTACACAACAATGTAATGATTTGTTCATCTCAACAAACGTTTTTAAATTCTTATTTGTTTTGTCTGATTAAATCCACCCAGAAGGTCAAAACATCGATGGGAAGTATTCAGCCATTCCCCAGCCAACAACACATATACTGCGCTAGATTCAATTTACCAAATGAATGACCACAGCGCTACATTGTTCTTATTACACAACTGAAGTGTTTTGATCACTCATATTTCATTACCAGTTCCCTGGGGAATATACAAGCCAAGCTGCTGGAAAGTTTCCAATCACATTACCATCTCATCCTACCGGGTACCCATTCACTGCTGGGAAAAGACAATCTCTTGCGTAACAAAACCAACCTACTTGGTAGTGTGACAACATCTTGGGGTCGTATATTGCAGGTGTATATTAAATACTGTTTCCTATTAGTAACACTGGTCTGTTCTAGATGTCGGAATTCAGAAATACATTTATTTTCAGTCATATATGTAACTCTCCTACTCTCCTCTACAGATGTCAGTGCGGGGTCGCCCACCAGCAAGGCGGAAGACACCCCGAGGCCACAGAGCGCTGAAAATGAGGCCGGCCCCATGTCCCCAGCGTCCAGTTGCGCCAGTCCCCCGGCCCCGATCAAAGTCTCAACCAGCCGCACCCCCATCAACAACAGCCTCCACTACCCGCGCCAGAACCATGTCAGCAACGTCATGCTGGTAGGCATCCCAATAGTATCTCTGTACATTGATGGCAAAGAGCGTCTATGTCTTGCCCAGATTTCCAACACCCACCTCAAGAGTTATTCATACAATGAGATTCACAACCGCCGTGTGGCCTTGGGCATTACTTGTGTGCAGTGTACCCCAGTTCAGCTCGAGATCCTCCGAAGGGCTGGGGCTATGCCGGTGTCATCTCGTCGCTGTGGCATGATCACCAAGAGAGAGGCTGAGAGACTTGTCAAGTCCTTCTTGGAGGACAACACCCCGCCCAAGCTGCCGGAAGACTTCAGCTTTGATGTGCAACATGATTGTGGTTGGGGATGCCGTGGCTTCTTCGAGCCATCGCGCTATAACAGCTCCCGTGCAAAGTGCATCAAATGTAGATTCTGTAATATATATTTCTCCCCAAATAAATTCATATTTCATTTTCATCGTGCACCTGACGCCAAGTACAATCACCCGGATGCAGCAAACTTCAACTCGTGGAGGCGTCACTTGAAGCTGACGGAGGGAGCTGCTGACGATACAACGTTTCTGTGGGAAGACGTCAAAGCCATGTTCAATGGCGGGAGCCGCAAACGTGTTCTCTCGGCCTCCCTGGCGAGTGCGTCCTCCAGTAACTCTGCAACCAAAAAGGCAAAGATGCCCACAGACACTTCGTACATGGCGGCCAAACCGTACACTAACCAGTATCAGTCATTCGGCATGTTCTCTCCCCACAGTAAGCAATACCAATATGGCCCTGTGAACAATTCCTACGGGTATTCCCAACCAGCCCATAACAAGGAATCTAGTGAGCCTCACAAGTCAGTCATGTCCCCAGCTCCCTGGGCGGCACAAAACAATGTTGGTTTTCCCTCTTATGATTTGTTTTGGGCGAATACTCTTGCTTTATCACGATCTGGGGCAATACGGAATGGGTACTATTCCAACATGTCCAAACACATGCTAACAGACTCTTATGCACGCGCAGCTGGACAATCGGATAAGAAACTTTCAAAAGATGAAGAAATGAATGACAACAAGGCCCACACTGATCGACTCTCAGCTTTCAGACCTGTAGGTCGTACTGCGCATGTGCAATCAGGTGACCAATCAGGATCCGAGCGAGCGGAGAGCTGTGCGAGTCCCGATGATGAAGAGAATGAGGAGATTGACGTCACGTATGACACCGATGATGATGAACATTTGAGTGGATCAGATGATGACGTCACAAAGACAGATTGTGACATCTCCAAAGATGCGTGTGATGACGTGGCAACGGGGGAAAGTCAGGAAATCACAGAGGACAAACCAGAGAATGTTGATCCCCAAAAGGTATAACAACCACCACATTATATGTATAACAACCATAATTGAAACATCAATGAACAAAATCAAAATATCAATATATCGACCTGAAATGAATACACAGTAACCTTTCTGTTTGGTTCAAATTATGTACAGTTATTAATATTACTAGGTTCCGTATTGACGGTGAAAATACCTCACCCTTTTCATCACAACTGGAAATATTCTAAAATATGTTTAATCAAAATAATAAAATTAATGAAAATTTCCAAAGCTTCCAAAACAGTTGTTTGTTTCCGGTTTCCAGCCTAAATCAAGACCCCCGACCCAAAAAAGTTTCTCATATTGGCCAAAACTACACAATCACGGCATTGTTGGTATTTAATGCCACAAGCGTACATTTGTACTACAGATAACCCATTATCGCCATTTAAGCAGGTTTTTTTTGTAGATTATCCTTTTTAAAAGTAATAGTGAAAAAACACCGATCTACCTTATTTTTGGATGGGCTTAAAGAGGAAACACACATGTTTTTGTTTGGCCTCACATATTTTTTGTTCCCACATTTAAGTTTTGTTTCAATTTGAGATCGCGTGTAATGAGTGTTTACGTAATACCCTGCACTGTTCCCATCGGGGCTGTCATTGCGGGACCCCCCACATCACCCCAATCTAATTAGCATCACAAGCTATCTACCAGCTGCTGATGTACAAAATGACAAATCGATTCAGGCTGTTAATTTCACTGCGTTTATTTCATCAATGATAAAGTGCTGCACGATCCTCAGTTACAACTGTTTAACGGTTTGATTTGATGGAGAGCGTCAGCACTCCAGTGGTTCCTCGTGTATTATTGCTGCACGTACACGTTATGCATTGACTCTCATGTCGCCATGCTTTGCGAAAACATTGTCAAGGAATTGATAACATTTGATAAGTGGTATTTCTAAAAAATAATTCTGTCCGTCTGTTTATCTATCTATTTATTCATTCATCTATCTATCGTTCTATCTGTCGCTCTAGTTATATTTTTATCGTTCTATCAATCGCTCTTGCTGTAGTTCTATCCTTCTGTCGTTCGTTCTATCTATTCATTTTCAAACCAGTCGGGAAATATGAACAAACACCGACAGATTACGCGAGTACATGCAGTCAACACCGAATTGAGCAAAACTAAGATCGACCCCGCCGTTAGATGTCTCAGATGACAACCCACAGATAATTCCACCGTCATTTCTCCGAATCCTGACGACATGTATTAAATTTCGGACATACCGCATTGCTCAATTTTGGCTGTATATATACATTATTATTTAATCTTTAGAGATAAACTATTAAATCAAATTTGCATATAAAAGCTAATTTGATTCAGTCAGTGGTTATCAGATGCCGGAAAGCGGGAGAGGTCCGACACCTTCGCATGAAAATTGCAGCGACTGCTCTCTTGGGTGGACAAGGCTTTCTTGGAGTATTGTTCTGTCTGGTGTTTAATCATGTGTTTGGTTGAGACGGTCTTAAATCCTTAATATCTTTCCATTTCACTAACTCCTGTGTTTGTGCCCTCTTCAACACAAGGTACAGACATCCGCGCTAACAAAGCAGTCTTTGATAAACAATGATGGATGCTTGGAGTGGCATGATTACGTTTTTAAGTATTTAACGTAAAACAGTTCTTGATGTTATAGAGAGTATCGATCTTTGGCATATGACGGGGCATGCGAAAAACGGCCTTGCTTAAATAAGTGTAGAATGACGCAGTTAAAACAACCCGACAGAATAAATGACTCGAGACTGATTTCAGTCCGCACACAAACTACGAGTATTCTTGATACCGTGTTTCAAATGACACCCTGACACGGCGGGACTTCGGACTATTCATCAATATTCCATTCCATGTTTCAGGTAGAACAAGAAGAAACAAACAATAATAAAGGTAAGTTAGTTTTTACACCGTCCCAATCTTTACAAGTTAAATGGTATATGTGTCTTAAAAAATAGCCCAATAAAGAGTTTTTGTTACCTACATATATCGATTTCAGGGACATCTGATTAACATCTGCCTAAGGTAGGCATTCCGCTATGAACAATTAATGATTGGTATTCCAACTATACATGAAGGTAGACATAGTCCCGTGTATAGGATGATGAGAATTATGTTTAAGTAATGAACACGCAAACCGTTGTAACAGCCGTATGTATATAAATATCGCTTTGGTATGCTTTAAATGTGCCGGGTGATTGAATAAGCATGATATTTCAGACAGAGAAATGTCAAGGGGACATCATGAAATATTTCTCGTTTATCTTGACAAATTTGGCACGGTACGTATGTAGAAGTTGTCGGAACGCGAGCGTAACGGCAGTAGTGAGCTCATTGTCATCGCTGTGCATGTTGCTTGCAGGAGAGGCGCAGGCTGTGATCGAAGACGGTGCCGAGAGGACAATGGCTGACTCAGGTATGTCAGGTGAGTGGAGAGTTGACGCTACAGAGTGAGAAAAGGGGAGTTTGTGTTAGAATGAGCTGGACGTGACGCTACAGAGTGAGAAAAGGGGAGTTTGTGTTAGAATGAGCTGGACGTGATGCTACAGAGTGAGAAAAGGGGAGTTTGTGTTAGAATGTGCTGGACGTGACGCTACAGAGTGAGAAAAGGGGAGTTTGTGTTAGAATGTGCTGGACGTGACGCTACAGAGTGAGAAAAGGGGAGTTTGTGTTAGAATGTGCTGGACGTGACGCTACAGAGTGAGAAAAGGGGAGTTTGTGTTAGAATGAGCTGGACGTGACGCTACAGAGTGAGAAAAGGGGAGTTTGTGTTAGAATGAGCTGGACGTGACGCTACAGAGTGAGAAAAGGGGAGTTTGTGTTAGAATGAGCTGGACGTGACGCTACAGAGTGAGAAAAGGGGAGTTTGTGTTAGAATGAGCTGGACGTGACGCTACAGAGTGAGAAAAGGGGAGTTTGTGTTAGAATGTGCTGGACGTGACGCTACAGAGTGAGAAAAGGGGAGTTTGTGTTAGAATGTGCTGGACGTGACGCTACAGAGTGAGAAAAGGGGAGTTTGTGTTAGAATGTGCTGGACGTAATGCTAGAGGGCGGGTAAAAGGGGAGTTTGTGTTAGAAATGCTGGACGTGACGCTACAGAGTGAGAAAAGGGGAGTTTGTGTTAAAATGTGCTGGACGTAGGTCTAGATGATGGGAGATGGGGGTTTGTGTTAGAATGTGCTGGACGTGATGCTAGAGGGCGGGAGATGGGGGTTTGTATTAGAATGTGCTGGACGTGATGTTAGAGGGCGGGAGATGGGGGTATGTGTTAGAATGTGCTGGACGTGATGTTAGAGGGCGGGAGATGGGGGTTTGTATTAGAATGTGCTGGACGTGATGTTAGAGGGCGGGAGATGGGGGTATGTGTTAGAATGTGATTGGCGTGATGCTAAAGGGCGGGAGATGGGGGTTTGTGTTAGAATGTGATTGGCGTGGGTCTAGAGGGCGGGAGATGGGGGTATGTGTTAGAATGTGATTGGCGTGATGCTAAAGGGCGGGAGATGGGGGTTTGTGTTAGAATGTGATTGGCGTGGGTCTAGAGGGCGGGAGATGGGGGTATGTGTTAGAATGTGATTGGCGTGATGCTAAAGGGCGGGAGATGGGGGTTTGTGTTAGAATGTGATTGGCGTGGGTCTAGAGGGCGGGAGATGGGAGTTTGTGTTAGCATGTGATTGGCGTTGGTCTAGATGATGGGAGATGGATTTTGTGTTAGAATGTGCTGGACGTGATGCTAGAGGGAGGGAGATGGGGGTTTGTGTTAGAATGTGCTGGACGTGATGCTAGAGGGCGGGAGAAAAGGGGAGTTTGTCTTAGAATGTGCTGGACGTGGGTCTAGAGGGAGGGAGATGGGGGTTTGTGTTAGAATGTGCTAGGCGTGATGCTAGAGGGAGGGAGATGGGGGTTTGTGTTAGAATGTGCTGGGCGTGATGCTAGAGGGCGGGAGATGGGGGTTTGTGTTAGAATGTGCTGGACGGGAAACTGGAGGGCGGGAGATGGGGGTTTGTGTTAGAATGTGCTGGACGTAATGCTAGAGGGCGGGAAAAAGGGGAGTTTGTGTTAGAATGTGCTGGACGTGATGCTAGAGGGAGGGAGATGGGGGTTTGTGTTAGAATGTGCTGGACGTAATGCTAGAGGGAGGGAGATGGGGGTATGTGTTAGAATGTGCTGGACGGGAAACTGGAGGGCGGGAGATTGGGGTTTGTGTTAGAATGTGCTGGACGGGAAACTGGAGGGCGGGAGATGGGGGTTTGTGTTAGAATGTGCTGGACGGGAAACTGGAGGGCGGGAGATGGGGGTTTGTGTTAGAATGTGCTGGACGGGAAACTTGGGGGCGGGAGATGGGGGTTTGTGTTAGAATGTGATGGACGAGATGGGGTTCCTTTTGACAAAATATCGCGGATGTAACGTCTGAGTATGAGAAGGGGGCAGTTTTGGCTCGAATGCCGTAGAGGTGACACTAGAGGGTTGGGATGATGGTGTTTGTGTCACAATGACATGGAAATGCCACCAAGATTGATAATATGGTTTGACAAACGGTTTCCGATTAAGATGTACATGATGCACCCCCTGCGAGACGACAGTCGACGTCACTTGGCCACAACGACATCTAGAACCTAAGCGTTTACTTGTGTCGTGTGATCAGAAGACTTCATTTTGTCATGTGATCAGCACTTCCAGGTGATCACAAATCCTACCTGTGTGACGTTATCATATAACACACCCGAAGTACATGATCATTAAATGCCCTTTTTGTGTGATGTTGTCGCTTGACAAACAAGTGCCATTTGATCACGTGAAGATTCTATGTGGCCATGAGACATACCCGTGTCACGTGACTAGTATTAAGAGCTTAGTGACAAAAGGCGTGGTGGCAGTCCACCAACAATGTACTCGGCTTCCGATCCATCAACCTCAGTGTGTTTAATATAGAAATAATAAATCTAATCTCGTCAACTTACAAGTATCTCTTAGAAATTTATGACAATAATATCTGTAGCACGCCGCTCATGCATGGGCCATTGCCTGCAAGCCATCCTAGAGACAGTAGATCTGACTACACTCCGTCACTGATCAAATATTTACTTTAATTGAAGAATTATTTATGTATGAGACACTTAATGACATTTTTGATATTTGCGACCACGATAAAACACAGCTAAATACCGAGTGCTTGTACGAAGAGACGTTCGGGAGAAATCGGAGACCTTTTGACGATGTTGCTGATGTTGTAGAGAAGAAAACAGCCCCATCTGTCAGTGTGATGAGGAAATTATTTATCATTTCGGATAAGATTTACATCTGAGGGGGACTCCGATACAATAAATGTCACCGTGGCGTTATTGGAAAATCGCTTGTCTTTATGAATACATTTAATGATATGGGTTGAGTATTGTTGATTATGTGGAAGGAGTTGACATTCAAACATTCGGGGAGACATTACACCTAGACGAACCTACAAATACGTTCATAGTGGTTGTCATGGTGATCAGTACGGGGAATACTTGGCAGTAATTTATTGATATTTTTCAGTTTGATATCAAATATTGTAAAATAATTGTCCCTTTCTTATACTGTAATTGTACTTCCATGTAAGCTTACACCGGTACACACACCGATGTATGTGATGCATCAGATCAACTCGGGAAACATAATCCAATATTACAATAAATATTAATGTATTAGATTTGTTGTCAGAATATAAAAAATATGGGAATGTAAAATAACGTGTTTTATTTTATCTTCAGATCAATCTGACTGTGAGACTGAGAAGGAGATGGTTAATTTCACTAAAGGTATGTATACGTTGCCATTGTTAACTGACTCTAGTACATGTACATTCAGGAAGTCAGAAAGAGACGCTTGGGCATGTTAAAGTGCATGTAAAGAAACAACAGACTAGAAGCAGGGAAGCTACACATTATTTCCTGGCTGAAAATATGTAATATGTAATTATATATATATACGTCACATGAATAGAGAGAATAGAGGGCAAAATTTGAATAACATTGTGTCTTATCTGTCACATATACATGAACTACTAATGATGCGGTGAGGTGAGGTGAGGTGAGGTGAGGTGAGGTGAGGTGAGGTGAAATTGGGTTTAACGTCGCGTCCAAGATTATTGCACTTATATGGCGACGTGCATACATGTGTGTGTGTGGTTGTGGTTGTGTGTGCGTGGTTGTGTGTGTGTGTGTGTACTAGTCCGGACTGATGCCGATTTATAGTGCTAGAACACTTTAGATACCATGTCGCAGTTTAACATGGATACCCCACTCACACACAGTATACTGACTCCGAGCCGACCAGTCCTTGTTTTAGCCCCTTAATGCCGAGCGCCAGACAGGGTAACAACAAGTACCATATTTTAACGTCGCTTGGCATGACGCGGCCGGGGATCGAACCCCGGACCTTCCGGGCGGACGCTCTACCACTAGACAACGGAGGCGGTCTACTAATGATGCGGACTATCTGTGTCACCCATATACCCTATCTACAAATGGATTACACTTGTATTATCACTGTGCTCTTTATCTTTTGAAGTAACTGAAAACAAATAATTTGTTTTTAAAAATGTGTTGAATGTTTATCCCAGGGTTAACGGATGACTAATTGTTTGTTTCAGAAGAGCTTTATGAGTATTGGAAGAAAGAAACAGACAACCGCAGGAGAGTAGAGAAGGAAGTGTCTGCCATGAGAGGTACGTCAGATGTAGCAGCTGTAGCAAGTACCTGTGTCAGCGTAGAGAATACATCTGTAGGAAATACACGTGTTTGCGTGGAGAACATGTGTTAATATAGCCTAAGGGAATACAGCTGTAGTAAACAAATGTGTTGTAAGGAATACAGCTGGACAAATACATAGAGAGAGAATACGTGTGTTAATGTGCAGAGCACAACCGTAGTAAATACATAAGCCGGAATTGGGTTATGGCTGCACTAAATACATGTGTCAGTGTAGAGAATACGGCTGCAGTAAATACATGTGTCAGTGTAGGGAATACGTTTATTGTAAATACATGTGTCAGTGTATAGAATACGGCTGTAGTAAATACAAGTGTCAGTGTAGGGAATACGTTTATTGTAAATACATGTGTCAGTGTATAGAATACGGCTGTAGTAAATACAAGTGTCAGTGTAGGGAATACGTTTATTGTAAATACATGTGTCAGTGTAGGGAATACGGCTGTAGTAAATACATGTGTCAGTGTAGGGAATACGGCTGTTGTAAATACATGTGTCAGTGTAGGGAATACGGCTGTTGTAAATGCATGTGTCAGTGTAGGGAATACGTCTATTGTAAATACATATGTCAGTGTAGGGAATACGTCTATTGTAAATTCATAAATAAACAGAGAATAGTACAATTACACACTCCTTATTAAATAGCTAAAACTATAACAAGATCGGCATGTTTAAACAAGCATGCTCCTCGTGAACTAGCATACATCATATGGTCCGTAGGCTCCCTCTGCAGACAGACATCTCGGGCTCCCTGTTGTTACCATTGCATTCATTCTGTTTCAGAGACGTACAGTGAGCAAGTCAGTCGGGAGAAGTCGTACCGAGACGAGATGGCGCACCAGCTTCAGGTTGTCAGAGGTAGGTCTGCAGTCATTACACCTATATGCATATCTATGTAACTTTTGTTTGTTTGTTGGTTGGTTGGTTTTACGCCACATTCAGCAATATTCCAGCTATATGACGGCGGACTGTAAATAATCGAGTCTTCCAGACAATCCAGTAATTGATGTCATGAGCATCGATCCACGCAATTGGGATACGATGACATGCATCAACCAAGTCAGCGAGCCTGACCACACGATCCCGTTAGTTGCCTCTTACGACAAGCATAGTCGCCTTTTACAGCAAGCATGGGTTGCTGAAGACCTATTTAACGGTTTTTCGGTTTATGGAAGCATCAATGCTAAAACGATTGCTTTTTCAGCCAATCAAATGCTACGGAATCACTTGCAGGCAATTCACAAGTATATTCATTATAATATATGTCGGGATATTTGGTGAGGTTCAGACATTACATTCAGCGCTGAAGTCTGTTTCCTGAGATTGATTTCCCGACTGTACTATAAAACAAACTATACTGTAAACTTTGAAGCATTGTGATAGCTTCTCAATGTTTGTTTTACTTGTTTATTTGTTGTTTAACGCCGTACTCAGCAATATTAAACATCGAGTAAAACATCGAGTCTGGACCAGATATTCCAATTATCGCAATTGGGATACGATGACCTGTATCAACGTCAGCGAGACTGACCACCCGATCCCGTTAGTCGTCTCTTACGACAATCATGCTTCTCAATGGCATCAATGTGCTAAGATAAACATGTCTGTGTTTCAGATACTCTCACCACGGAATTGGAGCAGGAAAGGAAGGTTCGCTTCGCACTCCAGCAGAAACTGAAAGGTAGATTATGTTTGTAATACCATCCGTCCACCTCCCGTCCGCGATCAAGCTCCGCCTCTTTAAAACTACGTTTAACTTACATTCAACCCAAATGTGTATTGTCTCTTCTGTAATGCTTTGTGTTTACGAAAGGGATAGTGTTGTTTTTATAGTATTTGTTGCGACTGTTTTATTTACGCTTTTACTTTAACACGAAACAAGTAAATATTGAGCCTTGTTCGTTGCAACCAACTTGTTAGGACAATTTAAAGCTTTCCGCCCACATAAATCTGACACATCACGATGTAACTAGAATATTGTTCAAAGCGGCGTTAAACCCAACTCGCTGCTAGGACAATTAATGTATTTATTTGTCTTTCTCTAAATGTGCTTTCGACTGTCTATGCATTTGCAGAGTCCCCTTCATTCACCCTACGGCCGCCGTAACTACCCTTTAACACAAACTCATACAAAAGCTCTTATACGTTTAAATGCACATAAAAAACAAGCACATTTACATGCACAAACACAAACGCAAGCACTAGTTCACATACAAGCACATGCACATCGTCACTACGGAGCAAAAGGACTGTCATATGTGACCATAGGGCTCCCCACACTTCAACGCCGCTCATCCCACGCTCCAGGCTTCAAGTTGCATTGACGGTCAACGCTACATGCTGCACGCTTTACTCTCAGCACAATACTCACCACGCTTCGCCCCGCGCCCCATGGTGCGCCCAACTATGCCCTCTACGCTTTACGTGACGTTTTACAAGCTCTTCTAAACATGGCGCCCCCAACGCTGCACGCTGCGCTCTTCACACTACACGCTGCCCTCTATGCGCACCGCACTACATGGCCTGTCCAACGCAGCAGTCTCCGCTCTCTACTCTCTCCGCGTTACTTTCCATGCTCTAAATTCAGGGGGCTCTAACCAATGGAATGAAGTGATGACGTGTTGGGTGCTTTCCAGACTGTTGTTATATTTACCTCTATGAACTATACACTAATTATTGGTGGAATCGTCTATGTTTAAATGTTATCAATGATAATTTACCTAGTTGTTATGAGTTTCCCATAATAAATATAGATTGCCAATGTTGTCATCAGAGCATCTGTTGCATTTTGACATGTGATTAAGAAAATTTGCTTGAAATAAATCAAAATTAATTTCTCTTGATTGTTTATTATTCCTGAAACGAGAATTTGAAATGAGTCTGTATTAAGGTTTTTTAAAATATCCGAGACGCTATACACCGTTGGAGGGCACTCCAGGAGAAGAAAGTTCGAGGCGATTATGGCGTACAATTGTCTCGTGTTATCTCTAGGTCTAGCTTGCCTAAGGTTGGTCATTCACAGGTGATGTTTGAAATACAGAATAATTATAATTTTCATTATCTTAAAGCAAAGATACTTTAACTGCTTACCCGGGCTCAAAATGCCACATAGAAAGAATAAATATTTATTTCTAAACTTTAATGACTCGAAACTTGAGAATCCCCTGTGATTTTGTCCATGATGTTTTTTTCCAAAACAATACGTTGTTACAAACTCTTTGAGATTAATTGAAGTTGAAATCAGCGCTTGTGTCGACGATTGCTTGTGGCGGTGTATCATGTTGCGCACTGTCGTGGTACGGCTTCATGTAATTATAGCCCCCGAAGCAAAGGGGATCGTTGTTTCACCGGCAAATCCTTCATCTGCTAACAGTAACATCGATAAAATACAAATAAAATATATGAAACAGCAAGAAATGTAATGTTAAATAATACATTGTGTTTGTGTACCTTTGTACTCCTCGTCATCCAAACATTAACAATCAATTACTTGTGAGATAAAAACGACAGAAACAAAATTATTCGAGGATAATTATCAAAATTATTTTTAAAAAAAGCATTGTATGATTAGAATCTGCATCGTTAAATAATGACTATACATTTCCGTAGGGTTAAAACGGTATTTTGTAGTTTAATCACCACAGCATATAGATCGTGTTTTCAAATTATGGTCTGGGCTTTTCAATCCACGTGTGCTATCCATGAAATGTGTGAGCGTAGCATCCTGGCGTATGCCATTCCCGGCCCAGTGGAAACACATCATCTCTACAAGATCTGTGCTCAAGATTCATATCCAAGACACATCTCAACACATACCGAAGACACTTACAGAAAACACTAGACGCATGCTCCAGACATATCTTCTTGGCACGACACAGAAACACCCCCCTCCCCACCCCACCCCACCCTCACACACACACATCATCTAGACACATGCCAGACGCATACTCGAGACGCATGGTCAAGGTATCAGACACATGTTCCAGACACATGTTGTGGACACTGTCCCAGGCAACACATTATAGACACGTAAACTCATGTCAGACATATCATCTAGATATGTGTACATCTCTATATTTAACATCTGCATATTTTAATTGCAGAGGCGCACGATGCCCTCCACAGTTTCTCCTGCAAGATGCTCGCATCCCGACAGTGCGACGAGTGCACGTACAAGGAGTCCCCTTTGCCCCGCTAACAACCCCCTTGTCTGACGGGGACGGCTGGAACATCACCTACATCGTCCTCGCAGGTTACTACAACTATCTGATTCAACGCCTGACCATCAGCATTTTTAATCAGCTGATGTGGACAACCCCTTTCCGCATCCTGTGTTAATAGCGACTACGGACAACGGTGCTTTCAGCCAGTGTGTGTCCGATGTTATTTAATCATGTATGACCACGGGATCACATGCAAGCCTCTAATAACGCACATATGTAGTTTCGTCTTTCTTGTAATGCATAAAGTTTAATGCGATAGCAGGATAGCCCACACCGATTGCGTTATGTGACGATAAATCTTATTAATATCGATGTTATTTGTACATAGCCCCTGTATAAGTGCTATAACGTCGTCCCATGTATATTATGTCATATTTATTGTAAATGTTAATATATTACTAATGTACATATAGCTGTTGTAGCTGTTGTAAGCATGTCAGGTTGCTCTGGTGTACATACGATCGGAGGAGGCGCTCTTGTAACAGACAATCTTTGTTGATGTAAAATGAATAGATTTAATAAATACTTAACCTATATACAATCCAATTCAAGAATTGTATTCTATTTTGTCTTTGACGTGATACAATTTAAACATAATATTTCCGAAAGATTCAGTAACGGAATTATAACCACACCTTAGGAATCATGTTGCGGGAAAATTGAGATGAGGACAGGTTCTCACCAAGTTAATTTCAATCAACATCGATAAAGATGTACCTACCTGCCAAATCAAACATCCTATCTATGTGCAGGTAATATATCCATGGTAACACATGCCTACCCGGGTACAAGTTTTAATGGAGACTTGTACCATGGTAACACCTACTTAATCGGTTGCAGGTAAAGACAGTGTCATGTATCCAAGGTGACCCATAGTTTCCGGGGTGCAGGTAGCAACAGTGACATGAATACTATATATTACATAGAGACACATATTCATTGGACACATACACACCGGGTGTCGGTAATTATAGAGACACATATTCATGGTGACACATACATACCGGGTGCTGGTAATTATAGAGACACATATTCATGGGGACACATACACACCGGGTGCCGGTAATTATAGAGACACATAGTCACGGGGAAACATTCACACCGGGTGCCGGTAATTATAGAGACATGTATTCATGGGGACACATTCACACCGGGTGCCGGTAATTATAGAGACATGAATTCATGGTGACACATTCACACCGGGTGCCGGTAATTATAGAGACATGAATTCATGGGGACACATTCACATCGGATGCTGGTAATTATAGAGACACATATTCATGGGGACACATACACACCGGATGCCAGTAATTATAGAGACACATATTCATGGGGACACATACACACCGGGTGCCGGTAATTATAGAGACATGAATTCATGGGGACACATTCACACCGGGTGCCGGTAATTATAGAGACATGAATTCATGGGGACACATTCACACCGGATGCTGGTAATTATAGAGACATGAATTCATGGGGACACATTCACACCGGATGCCAGTAACTATAGAGACACATATTCATGGGGACACATACACACCGGATGCCAGTAATTATAGAGACACATATTCATGGGGACACATTCACACCGGATGCCAGTAATTATAGAGACACATATTCATGGGGACACATTCACACCGGGTGCTGGTAATTATAGAGACACATATTCAGGGGGACACATTCACACCGGATGCCAGTAATTATAGAGACACATATTCATGGGGACACATACACACCGGATGCCGGTAATTATAGAGACACATATTCACGGGGACACATTCACACCGGGTGCCAGTAATTATAGAGATACATATTCATGGGGACACATTCACATCGGATGCCGGTAATTATAGAGACACATATTCATGGGGACACATTCACACCGGATGCCGGTAATTATAGAGGCACATATTCATGGGGACACATACACACCGGGTGCCAGTAATTTTAGAGACATAATTCATGGGGACACATTCACACCGGGTGCTGGTAATTATAGAGACATGAATTCATGCGGACACATTCACACCGGATGCCAGTAATTATAGAGACATGAATTCATGGGGACACATTCACACCGGATGCCAGTAACTATAGAGACACATATTCATGGGGACACATACACACCGGATGCCAGTAATTATAGAGACACATATTCATGGGGACACATTCACACCGGATGCCAGTAATTATAGAGACACATATTCATGGGGACACATTCACACCGGGTGCTGGTAATTATAGAGACACATATTCAGGGGGACACATTCACACCGGATGCCGGTAATTATAGAGACACATATTCATGGGGACACATACACACCGGTTGCCGGTAATTATAGAGACACATATTCACGGGGACACATTCACACCGGGTGCTAGTAATTATAGAGATACATATTCATTGGGACACATTCACACCGGATGCCGGTAATTATAGAGACACATATTCATGGGGACACATTCACACCGGATGCCGGTAATTATAGAGACACATATTCATGGTGACACATACACACCGGGTGCCAGTAATTTTAGAGACATGAATTCATGGGGACACATACACACCGGGTGCCGGTAATTTTAGAGACATAATTCATGGGGACACATACACACCGGGTGCCAGTAATTATAGAGACATGAATTCATGGGGACAAAAAGACACCGGGTTCCGGTAATTATAGAGACATGAGTTAATGGGGACACATTCCATCGGGTGCCGGTAATTATAGACATGAATTCATGGGGACACATTCATACCGGATGCTGGTAATTATAGAGACATGAGTTCATGGGGACACATTCACACCGGATGCTGGTAATTATAGAGACATGAATTCATGGGGACACATTCACACCGGATGCTGGTAATTATTGAGACATGAATTCATGGGGACACATACACACCGGGTGCTGGTAATTATATAGACATGAATTCAAGGAAACACATTCACACCGGATGCCGGTAATTATAGAGAAACATATTCATGGGGACACATACACACCGGGTGCCGGCAATTATAGAGAAGCATATTCATGGGGACAAATACACACCCGGTGCCGGTAATTATATAGACATGAATTCTCTTGGACACATTCACACCGGGTGCCGGTAATTATAGAGACACATATTCATGGGGACACATTCACACCGGTGCCGGTAATGTTAGGGACATGAATTCATGGGGACACATTCACACCGGATGCCGGTAATTATAGAGACACATATTCATGGGGACACATTCACACCGTGTGCCGGTAATTATAGAGACATGAATTCATGGGGACACATTCACACCGGATGCCGGTAATTAAAGAGACATGAATTCAAGGGAACAAATACATACCGGATGCCAGTAATTATAGAGACACATATTCATGGGGACACATTCACACCGGATGCCAGTAATTATAGAGACACATATTCATGGTGAAACATACACACCGGGTGCTGGTAACTATAGAGACACATATTCATGGGGACAAATACACACCGGGTGCCGGTAATTATAGAGACACATATTAATGGTGACACATTCACACCGGGTGCCAGTAATTATAGAGACATGAATTGAAGGAAACACATTTACACCGGATGCCGGTAATTATAGAGACACATATTCATGGGGACACATACACAGCGGGTGCAGGTAACGATAGAGACATGAATTCATGGGGACACATTACACCGGGTGCAGGTAACTATAGAGACATGAATTCAAGGGGACACATACACACCGGGTGCCAGCAATTATAGAGAAGCATATTCATGGGGACAAATACACACCGGGTGCCGGTAATTATATAGATTTGAATTCACTTGGACACATTCACACCGGGTGCCGGTAGTTATAGAGACATATATTCATGGTGACACATTCTCACCGTGTGCTGGTAATTATAAAGACATGAATTCATGGGGACAAATACACACCCTGTGGCGGTAATTATAGAGACATGAATTCAAGGAAACACATTCACACCGGATGCCGGTAATTATAGAGACACATATTCATGGTGACACATACACACCGGGTGCCAGTAACAATAGAGACATGAATTCATGGGGGACACATTCACACCGGGTGCCAGTAACTATAGAGACACATATTCATGGGGGACACATTCACACCGGGTGCCAGTAACTATAGAGACACATATTCATGGTGACACATACACACCGGGTGCCAGTAATAATAGAGACATGAATTCATTGGGGACACATACACACCGGGTGCAGGTAACTATAGAGACATGAATTCACGGGGACACTTACACACCGGGTGCAGGTAACGATAGAGACATGAATTCACGGGGACACATACACACCGGGTGCCGGCAATTATTGAGAAGCATATTCATGGGGACAAATACACACCCGGTGCCGGTAATTATATAGACATGAATTCACTTGGGCACATTCACACCGGGTGCCGGTAATTATAGAAACACATATTTATGGGTACACATACACACCAGATAGTTAAATAAAACACATGTATCCATGGTAACACAGGCATATGCACCCTATACATACACATCCTATATATACACTGTCTACATAAACACACCCTATATATACAGATCCTATATAAACACCTTATCTATACATACATGTCCTATATATATAAACACCTTATCTATACATTATGTCATACACATCCTTCATATACACTACTCATACATACACATGCTATTATTAAACACACTGTCTACACATACATATCCTATATACACACTTCCTGTACATACACATCCTATATATACCAATCCTACACATCCTATATATACCAATCCTACACATCCTATATATACCAATCCTACACATCCTATATATACCAATCCTATATAAACACTTCCTATATATAGATATAAGACTTCTACACATAGACATACACATCTTTCGTATGCCCTTCCCATACATACACATGCTTTAATTATATACACTATATATATATATTCATCCTACACATATACATCCTTTATATACACCGTCTATACATACACTTTCTATAAATATACACATTCTAAAATATATAATTTTATTAACAGTCTATACATACACATCCTATATATACACCGACTATACATACCCATCATATATATAATTTTTATATATATATAATTATATAATATAATATTTATATAAATATACTGTCTATACATACACATCCTATATATACACCGTCTATACATACACATCCCATACACACACATCCTATATAGATACACTGTCTATACATACACATCCCATACACACACATCCTTTATAGATACACTGTCTATACATACACATCCCATACACACACATCCTATATAGATACACTGTCTATACATACACATCCCATACACACACATCCTATATAGATACACTGTCTATACATACACATCCCATACACACACATCCTATATAGATACACTGTCTATACATACACATCCCATACACACACATCCTATATAGATACACTGTCTATACATACACATCCCATACACACACATCCTATATAGATACACTGTCTATACATACACATCCCATACACACA